GTTTACTATTAGCAATGTTCAACTCCATAGCCTTGTAATTTTGAACCCAATCCGGAAGACAAGGGAACTCTCGGATGAAGTATTCAGAGAAATTTGCTTTCGTGGAGGACTTTTTGATGAAACTAACCCGGATTTGAGTTACATGAAGAGGGAAACCACGAAAACCTCCTACGGTTAGCCTGACGGCAAGGGGACTCTAACCCATGATCCGTCTACCACTGAGGATATTTTACGTCAGCACTGTGGTCGGTGCAAGCCGGAAGCGGAATTCGTATCTACCAGAGATCGCTAGGGATCTCTAAGATTTCAAATATAGAATGAATTTTAGAAATAAAAGTTAAAAGAAGAAAAAATTAGAATTTATTTTATCTTACTTATCTCTCACTGTTCAGCAATTTTCATGTACATGAAAATTAATACTTCCGAAAAAGTAACTAATTGTTTTGGCTTTAGGTATTAGTTTTTAATAACTAAAAACTTAACTGAATAGTCACTTATTTTACTTTATTATAAAATACCTTTTTTAAAAAGATCTACAGTTATAATTTGATACTAAAATATAAAACAAAGTTCTATTTATATCGAAGAAATAACATCAAGCCAATGAAATAGATTATCTTTCCTATTAGCTCTTTTGTTCGTTTATTTATTCCGAAAAAAACTAAGTCAGTTTTTAATTAAAAGAGTAATTTAAAAAAAGAAAGAACGAAAAAGAATACCTCACGAAATATAAGTTTTCAAAACAGTATTAATTGCAACAACAAAAATATGTCCAAGCTAATGTTTTCTAAAATGCAGCAGCAGTAATTCTTTTAACATTTTTTGAGATTAAATTTAATTTAGTTTTTTCTTTTTCAGTTTTATTTCTCATCAATATATTTAATTAGTACATCCGATTATTTTGTTGCAAGTAATTAGCAGCAGCTCTTTTTCATTCGAAAAAAAAATATTTAAAAAAAAAAGTTTTACTTTATTACAAACTAAGTTTCAATAAATTAATTTAATAAACTGAGAAGACTTAAATTTATTTTCTTTCAATCGATACAAAATATTTCATTTTTACTATTTTTATTTTTTCATCGCAAGAACAGGTATGGGTCCTACTCACACTGCAAAAAATTTCTCGGAAAAAAATGGTTAAATAACAATTTGTTATTTTCCCATATACAAATAAAACAGCGAAATAACCATAAATAAATAGTATTCAAACTGCTAACTGAGAGAAAAACGGTTTATTAACTGCTTTCATCTAATACGGTTACACATCCAGAATTCTATTGCAAGTTCACCTAATAAAGTCATTTAATTCCTTTCAGCTGCACACATGTCACAGTCAAGAGCGCTAATCTGACAATCTCACGACCGACAGAACGAGAAATCGATCCTCAGAGTTGACACCACAATAATTCCTTAATTCTTTTCAACACAAGAAGAGTTTCCTGCATTCTGTACTCCCGAATTTGTGACCCTGGACTATTAGAACTCGATACGCTCACTCACGTAATAGATGGCATCACAATCTGATTAACACAAAAAAGTTTATTTTCCATCTTTTACGATAAGTGAAACAACCAAATAAACTAATTAAACCACATTCTACGATTCATTTTATAAAACACAACTCAACCTAACAACAATGTAAACGTGTTAATAGTTAAATGAGGTTACCTCAAACATGCTAATTAATTAAAGCTGACGATTTTTTAAATTACGAAATCTGACACGAGAATATACTTGCTCTGAAGAAACATATCCTTTTTCTTGGTGGATTTGGTTTTTTGACACCCAAAAAAATAGAAGGTAGTCGCAATCTAGGAAATATGGTACACATAGTTTGGTCAAGAGAGCGATCCAAAGTTTAGACCTCTTAATGCTAATTATATTTTTTTAGTATTTCACTTACCTCGATAACTTCAAAATTCGATTTCTCAAAATTTGTTCGACCAATTTCATTTAAATTTTGTATTTTGCCATGTAAAATTACATTCTTTAAAATGATATAAAATTTTTATACCTTACTATTCAAAATTATTTAAATTATTATTAAACAAAATAATAAATATTTACTGAAAGTTATTCTTTTCCACAGAAGTTGGATAAACGAATTTTATAATTGTGAGCCAAAAAATTCAATTCGCTTAAAAAGTTCTCGAAATATGGCAAAATACGCAACAACAAAAAGTTTAAATTAGCATTAAGGTTCACACTATGGGGTTAAAGATCACAATTAGGGCTCACACTTTGGAGCTCTCTCTTAACCAAACTATGGGAACCATATTTCCCAGATTGTGACTAACCCCAATAATTATGGTGTCAGAAATCCGAAACCGTTTAAAAATAAAAATAAAAGTATCCTGATTCAGAGAGAGCACGTTTTTGTGTCCAATTTCGTAACTTAAAATATCGTCTGCACTAATTAATTAGCATATTTGAGGTCCCCCTCTCGAACCATTAAGATAGAGTTCTAGAACACGAAGATCCGATCATTAGATCAAAAGTAATTCAGGGTCATCCGTTTTTTTCTTATGAGCATTGAACAAATATACCTAATATAGATAGTGCGATAATAGGCTTTTTACGAGTACCCTAAACGTATAAGTACCACATTTCATTCATATGCACTTTACAGACATTTGCTCCATTAAAAAGAAGATAGCACACAGTGAAATTGACTGAAATTACCGTTTTTATGATAACTTTGATCTCAGCAATTTTTTAATGGTTTTAAGGTTTAAATAAGTTCAAATTAATGTGATAAAAGTTATCAAAAATTTATAGTTAAAAATGTTAATTGACAATTGATTATTATTATTATTGTTGTTTAAATATAAGTAATAAAAATATGTATAAAATTTCTTTCAGAAACCTAAATTTGTATTCTTCTAATAATATTATGTAGGTAGGTACTTTATTCGTGTCACACTAGAGCTGCTCAATGGGCTATTGGCGACGGTCTGGGAAACATCTCTGAGAATGATCAGAAGAGATGACATCACAATTTAGATCCTCTGCAGAGGGGATGACTATTCCGTTTTTATAGCCCGACTACCTGCCCGTGAAGTCCTACCTTCTAATAATTTTAAAGTAAGATATAAAATACATATTCTGCAAACACATATTTTATATCTTATTTTCTAATAATTTTAAAGTGAGATATAAAATACATATTCTGCAAACACATATTTTATATCTTACCTTCTAATAATAAAGTAAGATATAAAATACATATTTTATATCTTACCTTCTAATAATATTAAAGTAAGATATAAAATACATATTCTGCAAACACATATTTTTTATCTTATTTTCTAATAATATTAAAGTAAGATATAAAATACATATTCTGCAAACACTTATTTTTTATCTTACCTTCTAATAATATTAAAGCAAGATATAAAATACATATTCTTCAAACACATATTTTATATCTTACCTTCTAATAATATTAAATTTCAGAATATGTATGAAAAAAATTGAAAACGGAAGCAACAGACATGATAGTTGTCGTTTCATTTGGCCAAAAGCGTAACATTTAAAAAGCAATCATTTTAAAAATAAGTAGATAAATAAAATAAAGTATACAAAACATATAAATAACATTAAAGAAATAATGTGCTTAATATTTTTTTAATATTTAGAATATAAACAATTTATGTATTTTTAAAGAAAAATAATCTTCTTTCTTTAATAAAACAAAACTAACTAAGTATTTTTTTATTTATTTCATAAACACTGTGCATAGCTTTAAAAAAGATAGTCTCTGAAATTTAAATTAAAAGAAACAAATTAAGTAAAACTACAATTCAAAAAGTTGCAGAAAACGACAAAACTACGAATTGTTACAAATTTGTAGAGTTTTAAAGGGTTAAATAGTTTGCAAAACTGTGAAATGATTTTTAAAAAAATTTATAAATATCCCGTATTTAAAAAATAATTCTACGACCGGAAAAATTATTATAAATAAAAAGGCACAGAAAGAAATTGCCATTAAAATACACATATTAAAATAAGATAATATGTTACGAGTGGATTGAATAATTTTTTCAAAAAATCAAAAAAGACCTATATTTATAATACCGGATAAATAAAAAAGCGCAAAAAGAGACTACTATTAAAAAACACAGGTAAAAAAGAGATTCTAATATGTTACAAATGTTTTGAGTTTAAACGGGTTTGAAACTATGAAATATGTTTGTTTTTTTCATGAATTAAAAAACTGAATTTAAGAAATAACTCAACTACCGAAAGAGTCATTAGGAATAAAAAGAAAAAGGCGCCGAAAGAAACTAGTATTAAACCGAACACAAAAAAACGACATGCACTTTTAAAATAAGTTATCCATTATTTAGAGTTAAAACAAACCAAATAAATAAAAAAAATCACGAGTTTGATAGTTAAAATAATTTATGTTTAGATAAAAGGAAACAATATACATTAAATAATGATGGAAGTTACATTTTTATGGAAAGGAAAAACAATTTTTTTGTGTTCGAAATGTCTAAACTATTTAAAGAAATTATGAAGAAAAAATTATAAACACAAGTGAATAATTTTCTCACGGTTTCCGAAATCATTATAAATATTTTTTTTTTAAAAACCAAAGACAAAACTATTATCAAAAAGAAAATAGTTACTATTAAATTCTTAATAAGATGTTTAGAGTAAAAATAAAATTACTTACATAATCGTGAGAACGGTATTTCAAATAATTCCTGTTTATATTATAAAATATGGTATATTTTTATGCAAAAGAAAAATATTTTTCCTATATGCTTAAATTATTTTTCCAAATTATGCTAATAAGTATTTTATTTAATAAACGCGGCGCACATATCTGGATAAATATTTCCACGACCTCAAAGGTCTTTATGAATAAAAAACAAAAGGAACAGAGTCACAAAATATCCTAAAAATAAGCAACCCTGAATCTTGCTCCGCTATTAATAGCAGGCAAAAATCTCTTGTTTTGGTTCAGAATTAGAGCAACTCCAAAATCTTACCTTTATGCTATTAAATCGCTCCGTTTTAAAAACAGGAATACAAACATCAGCCCTGGAAAAGTAAAATCCTTCTCCGGATAAATCCTCAAAAAAGGATCAACACACTCTTTATTTTAACAGTGATCTTCCACGTTCCAAAATAAAAAAATAAAAAGTACTACTTTCAATTGTTGTTTATATTCGCCAATTTCGAAGCACTATCGCATTCACGTCATCAGCTGTGGTGTCTTTTCTCTCTCTGATGGTACTGAGAATCTTCAAGAGTAAGCGCCGCTATGAGGGGGGTTACTCTCGGATTTGAAGTGGGAAAGAGCTGCAAAATTTGGCGAGAAATTACCGGGATGATTCCGGGAAAGATCGTTTTCATGCTGGCATTCTAAAAACCGTCCAGATACGCCAAGAAAAGGTAATGTTTTGATTTCAACCAGTGGTTGGAAGAAACTACTGTACTCGCTACTTATTTTTTTCGTAGTTTGTAGTGGATATTCGAATAATTAGTTACGTTTGAACCTTGTTTCTTTATCAAAGTAACGTAAAAAGTTAAAAGTAACAATAAAGAATCTCTACAAACTAGCTTTTTTTGTAACTCATTACTCACTGCATTAGTTTTTTCAAAAAACTAGTGCAGTACACTGCAATAGTGGTGACTATAGTAGTTTCGTTACTGTACTGGTAGTCAGTGGTCTGAAGAAGCGCACTACGAGTAGCGAAACTACTCTTGTCGCTACTTTATTTCGTAGTTTGTAGTGTAGTGTCAAATTCAATTAGTTACGTTTGAACCTTGTTTCTTTATCTAAGTAACGTAAAATGTTTAAAGTAACACTAAGTTAAAAGTAACAATAAAGAATCGCAACAAACTACCTTTTTTTTTGTAACTCACTACTCACTGCATTAGTTTTTTCAAAAAACTAACGCAGTACATTGCAATAATGATAACTACAGTAGTTTCGTTACTGGTAGTCAGTGGTCTAAAGTAGCGCACTGCAAGTAGTGATACAACTGTAGTCGCTACTTTTTTTCGTAGTTTCCAGGGAGTAGGGCGAAACTAAAAAAACAATTCTTTGTAGCGATTCCTGGCAACTACTTTTAGCGGTAGTTTAGCAAAGAAACTCGGTTCTAATACAACTAATTTTTCGAGTTTGATGGGTACAAATCTTCGCGGGTCTGTCAATGGATGCAATGAAAATGACTCTCCAGCTGAGTGTTAACAGGAACTACGTATTTAAAATCACGTATAACTAATATTTAAACTAGCCATTACCCAAAATGGATCATTAATCACTTTGGTCATGCATTTTCACATGCGAATGTACACTCGTAAAACATTGATGTTATTTAAAAGGAAGGAAACGTATTTTCGATGTACTTTATTTCTTAGAGGAAGTAAAAGAGCATTAAACAATTAAAAAATTGCAACTATTTGATAATTTCGCATTTCTTAAATTAAATAATCGTTGTCAAAAAAGGCATAAACATTTGAAGGTTAAATGAACAAATTCGAAAAAAAAAATTTGGATAATGGATAAATGTTTCTTAATTACTCCTTTACATTTAATAAGTCAATTTCTTATTCCAAACCACTTTGAACATAATTAAATTCTCCAGCTTAAAGTATTGAAATAGTTACTAAATTCCAAATTAGTTTGTAGTTTCTAAATTTAAAAAAAAGAAGTAATAGTTGTAGTTAACTGCATTTGTAACAAAGTGGTTGTAGTTGTTGTAAACAACAAAAGTAATGTAATTTTTCCAACCACTGATTTTAACAGTTCATTTTAAATTCCTGCATCTGTTCACTGAGACAATTAGTCTTAAAAATTAAAGATAATTGGGGACCTCCCCGATAACAGAAATCCTCCAGCAGATTAACAAATCTTCTGCAAATTATTAAAAGAAAAAAAAACTCTAAAATATTACAAAGAGCAGAGACAGAAAAAAAAATTTTTAATTCTTAAATTTACACTCAGTTAGTATTTTTTTTAAACCCTCAACAAAATTTGTTTGCCAATCTACAAATATATAAGCAAAAGAAAAGTGATGAATTGCAAAAATTAAAAATAATGTTCTTCTATCAACCGGAACTTTGAAAAATAAAGTACTGAAAGACAAAAAAAAATTAAAAATTAAATTCCGTAAACTTATTTATAGAACTCGTTTATAGATTATAAAAGGAGTTGATTCATTTTTTTCTTTTTTTTTTTCAAATTTCAATTATTTCATTAATTTAAAAGCGTATGGAAAGTTTTAATTGAAATAACAAATGTTTAACAAAATGCTTTGTGTATGATTTTATTCTAGTGTGCTAATTTTGTTGTACAGTGATCAGAACAAACAACCCTGAATAACTTTTGGTCTAATGATCGGATTTTCTTGTTCTAGAACTCAATCTTAATGGCGCGACGGGGTGACCTTAAGTACGCTAAATAATTAGGGTCGACGATATTTTAATTTTTTTTTTTTTTTTTAAAGACACAAAACCGTACTTTTTTTAAGTAAAATACCTCTTTTTAAAGCTGATTCAGATTTCTGACTCGCAAAAAATAGGGGGCAGCCACAATCTTAGAAAAATGGCCCCACAGTTTGGTCAGAAGAGCGATCTAAATTTTGGACACCTTAATGTTAATTTTACTTTTAGCGTATTTTGCTATATCTCGAGAACTTTATAAGCGAATTTAAACATTTTTGCACACAACTATAAAACTCATTTCTCCAAAGATAAATACATTCAAAAAATAACTTTTAGTATTGCATATTTATAAATTTTTATTATTTTAATCAATAATAGACGAAAAATATTTGAATTGTAAGGTATACATTTTTTTCCACCATTTAAAAGTATGTAATTTCACACGACAAAAACAAAAATTTGTGCAAAATTGGTTGAATAATTCCTGACAGATTGAATTTCTAAATATACGAATTCCTTAACGTCCAATTTCGCTCAAATTCTGTACTTTGATATGTAAAATTACTTACTTTAAAATGATGTAAGATATTGTACACCTTACAATACGAAAATTATCGACTAATAAATGCAATTATAAAAAGAAAATTAGTGCGTGGAGTCCCTCCGCGCGGAAGAAGTTAAACTTCGCGACCGGCGACTTTAATTGTAGAAGAATCAGCAGTCGTAGAAGGATCACTAGTTCTATTCAACGACTCTTTTTCCTGCTCCGCTCTCTTCCGTGCTCTGTAATCACGGTAATATTGTGCAGGTTTCCCTCATGGACCTCTTGAACCAGTGGAAGTGCTTGTGGTTGCCTCATCGTCTCGCCCTGGAAAATGTATTTGTATTAATAATGTATGTGAATGCGTCATAATGCAATTTCAGAAGAGAAAACCTAACAATCGATATTCACAAGAGACGTACCTTGACATAACCTAAAATCCGTCGCATTGTCCGTGGGATTGTTTTCACTCATTTTTTACAATTGTTATCCACTAAAATTGGAAATAAAAAATACTACCCCATTAAATTATATGCGTATCAAAACAAACTAAAAAAATATTTATGGAAAAACATTACTCTTATGACTTTTATTATTTTTATGCTAGTGAGAACCAAAACAATATGGAAATGAATGAGTGAAAACTGGATCCTACCACGTGATTTCCCGGCCAATAAAAATGTAGCGTTAAACGTTTAACGCAACCTTGTTGGAAGTCGCATAAGAAGTATCACTTCAATAATAAATATTTACTATAATTTAATTTTTGTATGGAATTATCTTTGGATAAACGAATTTTACAATTGTGTGCAAAAATGTTTCGATTCATACATACATAAGGGACCAATTTAATATAATCCTGAGGAAAATGTTTGGACTTGAAAAGCGGAAGCAAACAAAATTCTTTTTACCACATACAGAAGAGAATAATTTCAACTTTCGTAGAAAAAATCAGTTTTATTAACATATCAGCGTGTTCGAAAATACGAAACGACAGTTTAAAAATCACAAAATTTGTTCTAACATTAAACCTTTCATTTTAAAAAAATGATATCTAAGCAAAATAATTTATGTTCACTGATTGATTTCAATATAATGTTTGGACGTGGAAAGCGTAAGCAAACAAAATTCTTTTTAGCACATACAGAAGAGAATAATTTCAACTTTCGTAGAAAAAATCCGTTTTATTAACATATCAACGTGTTCGAAAATACGAAACGACAGTTGTGAAATCACAAAATTTGTTCTAACATTAAACCTTTCATTTTAAAAAAAATGATATCTAAGCAAAATAATTTATGTTCATTGATTGATTTCAATATAATGTTTGGACGTGGAAAGCGTAAGCAAACAAAATTCTTTTTAGCACATACAGAAGAGAATAATTTCAACTTTCGTAGAAAAAATCCGTTTTATTAACATATCAACGTGTTCGAAAATACGAAACGACAGTTGTGAAATCACAAAATTTGTTCTAACATTAAACCTTTCATTTTAAAAAAAATGATATCTAAGCAAAATAATTGATTTCAATATAATGTTTGGACGTGGAAAGCGTAAGGAAACAAAATTCTTTATAGCACATACAGATGGGAATAATTTCAACTTTCGCAGGGGAAAAAAACCATTTTATGGCAATACTTAAAATTTACGGATAAAATTATGGTAAAAAGTACTGGTGCGCTGCGTGCTAGTGCATTTCACCGTAAAATATTACGTTTAAAAAATGTGACATAGCCCAATTTTTGCAGGAAGATTCACTTTAAAATCATTGTAATCAAATAAATATTACTGTAAAAACTACGATATAAAACATTACGGTAAAAATGGATTTTATGTTAATTAAGATTTTACGGATATTGCACTCTGTGTGGCGGGTAAAAAGCAGAGAAGAGGAAGCTTAGCCACTTATTATAGTTTAAACACTTAGTATAATACAAATTGCATCGGCCTATAATGCTTGCCATAAATTAAACAGACGGTTTAAAAAAAAAATTTAAAAAAGCCACTACTTTATATCTCCCCTCCAAAAAAAATTTCATTTTCATTCATAACTGTGATGTCTGAAAACATACCTATACCGATAAAAAAAAAAAACAATTATTCCAAGATTAAATGACATTTATTTTTCCTAAACAAAACTTTAAATTTACACTTGTTCTTTTTCTTCTCTTCCTAACCTTTTTCTTGCTATTGAAGACTAGTTCTGCACTGTCCTTGTAGTATGAAATCACAGTAATATTTTACTGTGCTATTTTTTTTAAGACATCATATGACAGTTTCAAACATCAAACTAACAGGGGTGATTGTGAGCCCAAGTCAAAATTCCGGAAAATTCATTGAGTTAAAAAAAAAAAAAAGTTTAATTGAAAAATTAGAAAAAAATTTAAACAAGGTTTTTTCCTTTTTCTCAATATTTCTTAGTTCACTTAAAAACATTAAAAATTTTACACATACCGATACCATTTACACATACCTGGAGAAGAAATTAAAATTTATAAACATGTCTTCCTTTCTTGAGTATATAATTATAACAACTATTTACTGATAAAAAATGAATATTAATCATGAATATGAGCTTATAAAGTATCTCTCTGGCTCTCCCTTACAAACAAATAAAATAAATTGTGTTTTTAAGTTCCACCTTTGAAAATGATTTCCGGAAACTTCTGTGATCAATGATTTTTTGAAACGTCTGGACCTTCGATCTCCGGAAACTTCCGGATCAGTTTGCGAAAATTCCGGAAATCCGGATTTTTTCCGGAGCACAATCAGCCCTGAACTAAAATTTAGCAAGGTTTATTTTAAAATTTCAATAAAAACACATTTTAAAATACATCTTTCACTGGATAGGATGCTGGACTGCAGCTCATAAAAACCATATTTAAATTCCTACTTTCTCTCGCTTATAGTAATAAAATGCGTCTGAAATCAATACTTCACTGATAGCCATCCATATTTCCTTTAAAAAAATTAAGTCAATTTCAAATTTAACCCCTAGATCTTCTGACTATGACAGCAGTTTCCAAACTTTGTTCCGTTGAACCCTAGGGTTTCATGAAAGAATTAAAGCGGTTATAACCAGAGTTTTGAAACCTCAGATTATATTTATATCCAACCTATAATTCATTATTTATTTCATCTTTCGATAATAGGCTAGGAAATTATTTTAAGTAAAATGCCAAAGAAATAGGAACTGCATTTTTTAAATGAGATAACATTTTTAATAACAATATTTGAACAAATCATGAAAAATTACAAGCATTTATAAAAGATTGCATTAGTATTTCTCCATTACGCTTTGTCAAATCGAAATAAAATAACTAATATTTTTAATAAAAATAACCATATAAACTTTGTAACCCTATAAACCATTTTCAAAATTTATGGCAGTTCTTTTCAGTTTTCATTTCAAGGAAGTAATTTTTCTCTTATTCTATTCATTTTTAGCTAATTCACTAAAAATAAATTCAGAGCTAGACTGAAATTAACACAAAGAATACAAATTGAACTCTCGGAGATAAGGCTTGATTTAAGATCTCTTCACCTCTATTTAAATATTTCAAAATAGTCTTTTATAGATTATAATCTTACAATTCCTTAATCACGTTCACAATTACTTCAATAAACTTTATTTATAATGTCTGGTTTCCCTCAAAAGAAGAATGATTATTTAGGGTTCCGTAGTCTAAAAAAAATTGCCACCACTGGACTATAGTATAACATTTTTAAAGATATTTTCTCTTTTATGCAGTTTTAAGAGATATTATTTAGCCATAAATCAATTTAAATTAGTTACATATTTTGAAAAAGATATAGAGAGAGATCACAAAAAATGACTTGCATACAACACAATAAATGGAAATGATCAGAAAAAGTAATAAAATAAAAACATTAAGCAAAATCATCATGAATATAAGATAAACTTTATTACATACACTGCAATATATACAAAATGTAGCTCCCAAAATTTTGAATTTTGCAAAGGCAGCCACAATCACGCTAAATGCACAAAAAGAAAATGAAAAACGATACATGAAATCAATGCAGTTGTTTATATTTTTGTTAAGTTGTCTTTATTGCACCTAAAAAGTGGGTGGCCACTCAATTCAGGTTTCAAATTAAAAATCTTACAATTTCCAAGTAAACTGTTCTTTTCTCTGCTAAAGTGTAGCATAGGTACAAGGAAAAAAAGTGTCAATATTAGTCTATATAATAATGTAGTATTTCATTTAAAATGCTATTTTTTTAATATATTGTCTGGAATTAATGTGAAGGAAACAATATGCAAATCCCTGCAAATTTTAAGTGTTAAATAGTTTTTGCACAAAATGTACCAAATAGCAATGACCCAAAACAACCTTGGATAGGTACTGTTTAACATATTTTTATTAAGCAAAAGAAAATTCCAGGTGATTAGAAACCAATAAATTTTTATATTTATTTACATTTCAATATAGAGCCATTTTATACTGTATTTTATCCTAACAGTGCTCTTTATAAAACTCATTGAAATAATTTTCTTTAAACCAATATTTCAACTTTTTTACGATAAATTTACATCTAAATAAAGGTGTTCATAACGGATGGAAAAATAATTTAAATTAAGAGAAAAATTCCAGCTTTTCTTCGAAATTCCTTGATTTTTTTCAGGGTTTTACCCAAATTTCCCTCATTTTTCCAGGTTTTTTCCAGTATAAAAAAATTCCCTGATAATTACAGGTTTTCCAGGTGGGTAGCCACCCTGAAATAAAAAGATATATAAAGACATTTATTCCTTCACCTTACAATTACTAATTTGGTGTAGATTTCTTTATTTAGGTGTTATACTCACAGTTAGAATAAAAGATCAAAGAAAGATACTCAGAGTAAATACTTCACAATAAAATATAAAACAAAGAAAATGCCAAAAGGCCCATAGTTACATATTTAAAGATTTATTTAAATCATTTTGAAACTGTTTTATATTGATACTCTTCTCCATGAATTTCTGTTTTACCATTTTTAAATCCATATGCTAATTTACATTTACAGGCTCATATATTACAGTCATATACATACATATCACATACGTACGACATTAAAAAATATACATAAACTTAAAATACCTAAACAAACACAAATATTTTTTTTAACTTTTAAAAAATGTGAGCATTCGAATTAAATGGTTAAATATGGAGAATTCCATTTATGTATCACATTTTTTTACAGTACAAAGCTTTCAAGCAAATATTAAAATGCCAAATCCTTACTTAATTCCTTCATTAATAATTTTCAAGTCAGTTTTGTCTTTTTATTTGAAGAATTTTTGATAAAAATCTTCAGAATACCATTTGTTTATTTACTTTCCCATAATATATCACATTTTCCAGAAGAAAAAAATTTCATCACACTTTTTCCCGTTAGTGCTAACTATATTACAGTATCGATTTTTGCCCGAAATCTTTAAAAAGCAAGATTTTTATTTTGTAATTCTCTTCAGTATTCTAAACCATTCAGAAAGATAGATTCTTATTTATTTAATTATTTTTTTATTATAATTTCAAGTTTCTTCTGAAAATTTTTTGAAAAAAAAATGCAATTCTCACTGATGAAATTTTATTTTTTACAATATTAAACCCCTTAGTGGAAACTACATTAATCCATTCCCATTTGTGCAAAATATATTATCCTTACTTTTTAATACAGCTTTTTTTGCGAAATTTTTAAAAATCTAGATTTTTACTCATGCAATTCTTTTTTTAATATTCTCATAAAAGGGGAAGTTGTTTTTCATTGTTAAACATCTCAAAATCCTAATTGATCCATTTACCCTTTTTGTGACTTAAAAGTTTTTCTGAAAATTTTTTGAAATAAGTTGGGAATCTTTAATTGTGTAATTACATTTCCAAAAAGAACTCCAAGTTCTCTTTTATTATTAAAAAAACATTATCCCATTTGAATGCAGTCCTGCACACAAATGGGGCAAAACTTAAATCCTCTTATTCCATTTGTGTGTAATCACTTTTTTTATTATTGATCACCAGTAAACAATAATTAAACTAAAAGGTAAAACTCAAGAAGAGAACGATTGTGCAGTACTTGATGAGGAAGAGCTGTACGAAGACGATGTGTCATCCGAATCCACATTCGAGGCAGCAACAGCTCTTCTTGAAACACTCCCATCATCGTCATCGTCCTCAGACAATGAAGATGAATAATAATGCGAATCGTTATCTTCTTCTCGCCTTCTGCTCGGACCACTCACATTCCGAGGATGTACGGGAATTCTCTCGTTCCTCGAGTTGTGAGATGACTGATTGCCCGACTGTTCGTTGGGGCGAGACGACGGTTGAGGTTTAATCGCTGCATACGAACGAATATTCAGAGTCATTTTCAAAGAACCTTGCCTCTTTTCGCACGCTCTCCTGGGATACACGTTATGGGAGCACCAATTGGGTAAGGAATAAGTTCTATTATCCGTCATGTATTTCAATACGGCTAAAGCATCAGAATCAGTAATTATATTGTGGTGTACATCAATGAAATCCACAAAATCCCCCTGAGATATGCAACCAAAGCGTATCTGACTTAAATAAGGTTCTAAAAACTGTTGCAAGGGAGGCTCCTCGGATCCATTTTTCAGTTTCTCTTTTGCCCACCATACAATACCTTTCAAAAGTTCTATTTCCTTGATGTACAATGAATCCATAGAAAGAATTTTTTTTAGAGTTTCACCAGTTATGTCCAAAAAACTGGCACTACACATCGCTCCAGCTATATTCGTCTTCAAGTAAATCAGGCACTTCTCAGCCAAGGGTTTGGAATTCAGAAAGACTGAGTTTTCTAGAATTATCCATACATTATCACTTGTTAGTGTACAATGGGTTAAGTAATTGCAACAGATGTCTCTCATATGCGATAAACAGTATTTATCTGCAGCGAACCAGGCATATAAAGCATCCGTTTCATTCTCGAATTCCATGTTATCAGTATAAATGTAACTGGAAGAGAAAAAAATTTCGATCAGGGATAGAAATCAAAAAAATATACTCACTCGTAACTTTGACACTTTCGTCAAACTCAGACAGACTAAGCATTGACACATTTAATGCTAATCAGCAATTGTCTAAGTTTTACACTCTAGTTAATAAAAAGAACATATGTGATTGTGTCCCAAAGTGAAAAACTCTAAAAATTTAATGGACAAAAAATCGATATCAATTTACATACCAAACATGTTTCATATTTAATATAAACTTTTGAGTTAGCATTTTATAACCGCCGTTGAACAGCTGACCAATTTTTTGAGTTTACTACTACTAATGTTCAACTCCATAGCTTTGTAATTTTGAACCCAATCCAGAAGACAAGGGAACTCCTGGATCAAGTATTGGGAAAAATTTTACTTTCGTGGAGGACATTTTGATAGAACTAACCTGCATTTGTGTTACATAGAGAGAAAGACCACGAGGACCTTTCACAGTTAGCCTGACAACAAAGGGACTCTAACCCGTGATCCGTCTACCACTGAGGATATTTTACATCAGCACTGAAGCCCGATGCAGATTCGTATTCACCAGCCATCGCTGGGATTCAAACCTGGTTCCCCTCATTAGAAGGCAAACGTTCTATCCCTTGAGCCATTGCGGCTCAAAACATTACAATTTAAATTAGCATTTATAATTAAATTGCCTACTAATCTACTAAGAATATCACACCTTTACAGTTATTAATTCAAGAAAAAACTTACTTTTTACAAGAATCGCGATATTGGATTTAAAAATTGTGAATATGAAACATAATATAGGATTTTAAAACCGCATGCATCATGCCTATGAATCACAATATTCGAATTAAAACTCAAGTGAATATGAATCGCTACCCATAACTTTTAAATCAGACAAATACGAAAATCGATGTTTGATATTAAAATCGCAATATTACCAGATTTCAGTGCAGTTCCAAAGATTCAAAATGGCGAGATTTTGCCAAACCAAAAGAATCCAACCTGCGCAAGAATCACATATACGTAAACCTCTCATTAACAGAATTTAGCATAAGTTTTAAGATTTCGCTGGATTATAAGTTATTGATTTGAGACTGCCCGCGAACCAAATTTTGCAAGGACCTATTCAGAATTATTGTTATATACTAAAGTACATGTCAACCAGATTTTTCAATTATGTACAAGCAGAAATTGCATATTTTTAAATCAAAATTCTTATTTGACAACAAAAAATTTTTTAATGAATTTATCAGCTAATAATACAAATGGTCAATAGTTACAATGCTGTTTCAAATCACTTTAAAAAATTCCAATTGACAAAAAAAACTCTAATTGACATAGGATACTAGCCAACATTTAAAAACAAGCACAGTGAAACTTTTCATGAAAATTTAATAAAGTGAATTAGAATTAATGAAACTGAATGAATGTATAATGCATATTACATTAAACAAGCATAGTAAATAATTCATAAATTTTGTGTAATTGCACGGTTATTAAAATAGAAAATTTTTTTTCAAATATGTTAGATCAAATTTTAGGTTACAGGAAATGTATACAATTAGATAAATTTTCAAAGTATATCCATTTAACATATCTGTTTCAATTTTAATATCAAATGTTCTATTTTGTTACTTCAGAATATAAGTAATGTATTTCGAATATAATTAAATCTATTGAAGAACAAATTTTACAGATAACTAATGAAGACTTACCGAGCTTTATTTTCTTTAAAATATATCCTTAAAATGTGAAGTGTGATTTTTAAAATTTTGTGAATATGCGTAATTTTCACCTAGCGTAATTTTTAAATCGCATTTATATGAATCTAGATATACTATATGTAAATCAAAATTATAAGAAAAGTAAAGAATTGATAAATCTCGAAGATTGCATAAATCACGTATCACTTTCTTAAATCGGAATAATATGAATAGCAAATTATACAAAACACACGAATTAACAAGACATAAATCGTAATGTAAGATACATAAATCCCTTTAATGTGAATTCTGTCGCAAGATTAGCTAATAGTTTTCATGTGAATGGTGATCATTATGATTCAAATTGCAATTTGTGATTCGAAAGATGCTTAATATAAACAGCTATGTGTGATTCTTAAATCATTTTGATGAGAATTGTGGGTGTTAATTCTTAAATCTCTCTTTTGTGAATCGCAATGTGTGATTTGTAAACAACTAGAATGAGAATTGTGAGGCATGATTCTGAAATTACTTAAATATGTACCATGTTATACATTTCAGAAATAACTTTAATTGAAATCATGATGTGTGATTGATAAATCACTTAATGTGAATCATGATGTGTGATTTATAAAATACCTTAATATGAATTCGGATGAGTAATTTGCAAATCACTTTAAAGCAATATTCGATATGTGATTCATAAATCACTTTCAGTTAAACCGCAATTCGTAGAACATTTAATATGAATTCTAATCCGTAAATCAAGATCAGTTTATGTGAATCACGATATTTATTCATAATCATGAAACCTGTAGAACTAAATTTTATTTATTAACCTTAAAAAGTAAATGTAAAACTTTGATTATAAATGATAAAAAATTAACTATCCTTCATACATAAATTAAAAGAACAAATAGGATAACAATATTAACCTGTCGTAATAATGAAGTTAACACATTGAACATATTTCTAAATCAATTAAACACTATATATCATTCGAAAACTATGCTACAAAACCTAAAATTTGCTTGAAATTTCAGCTTTCAAAAAGTCAGAGAGATGAACAAAAATCTGCTCTGAAAAATCTAGGAGAAAAAAGTTTTGCATTTTTAACCTCTTCTCACTTCAAGCATTAAAAATTGCATCAATCAAAATTTCTATAATTTCCCTTTGAATTTATTTATTACTTTTTTACACTTTTTTGTAAGAAAAAATTGTAGTATTTTAATTCCTAAAAAATCAAGTACTTTTCAAGTACCCTATGGCAGAATTAAAGGACTTTTCAGGGCCCTGATGTTTTTCAACCAAATTCAAGGACTTTCAAGGTTTTTCAAGTACCGTGGGACCCCTGTGCTAAAAAGTACCAAGTTTTGCTATTGGGTATTACAAGAACATGTCAATGTGTTGCTATATGGGTAATTGGGTTGCCTTTTTATAACATTTTAGGGGTTTTCTTTTTATATGAAATTTAAGTACAACCACAATGGGCAATAATATTGTGTTTTATGTTATTTTAGGAAAGTAATGCTTTTATTAAATTTCAAATATGCACAGCAAGGGTTTACAAAAAGTGTTGTGGAGATGATGGTCGCAGAGTTCAATTTTCTGTTGATTTAAACACTTTTCTTTTTCCTTTGAATATAATTCAAACATTAACAATCAAAAGCCACAAGGATTTCTTAAAGTGATGAGTATATTAGACATGAATTTTAAAAGAACACAAATACTCATGGTTAAAGATTGCAATATCTACAAATATCGTAATTGGGATAGTGGGGTTAAATTTTATGTTATTTTGGAAAATATAATGCTCTGATTTATACTTCCAAGTAGCTTGTTTTGAGAATTAAACAAAACTTACTCTAATAATAACTGAAATCCACTGGGCATTATGTCAGGAATGCCAATAGTTTCACCTGTTTCCTTTAGAGAACCATAAAACATGGCTTCAAAAACAGGACTAGCCAAGGCAAGAATCATTTTATGTGCATAAAGAGGAGTTCCTTGAGGCCCCACAGCAAATGAAACATCAGTCAGAATTCCTTGTTTCATTGCATGCCTATGCCTCTCTTTAAAACTTTCAGCTTTTTCACGCCAATCCTCATTGTTTCCTGAAATTATACAATAATCAAAATTACATATACTAATAAAGCTTTTTATATCAATAAGAAATTTAGTAAAAAACTATAAACATTTTATGGAAGAATTATTGAAGCCTTTCACAGATAAAACGGTCTCTATTACAACAATAATACAGATAAGTTTATAAAGGACTCTATTTCATAAAAACTTAACTTATTGTACTTCAATAAAGAACAAGATTATATTTAAAATATACAAATAATGGATAATGCAAAACAATCACTTTCTTCATAACAACAATTATCTCCTTGTCCTAGTATGTTAAAATATTATTATTACTTTAAATATATATGTTTTTTTTTTTTTTAAATTTTAAGCATGATGCAGAAAAATAAAAATTCCTAGTTTCCAAAGCTACATTTTACGGACACTATGCGCCTACCGTTCTTACTTTAAAAATGACCCTCGTGTTTTACCTCGAATATATCAAGCAATATGAAACATAAAATGGAATAAAAAAAGAACCTTTAAAGAAAGTAAATATATCTTCTAAGGGTGGTGTAGAAGAAGTGGAAGACATAAAAAATATAAGAACATTACCTAATGAACTTTTTAAAAAAATCATGAATTGAAAATGGAAGGGGGGAAAGAAACTTAAAAACTACATCAAATCTAGCTGACTTACAGTTGGTAATGTATATTTAATTAGCTCGCAATTTCCTTTAGATCTGAATTTAAAATGTAACATTAAAAGGTAAACAAAGCCACACAAAAAACTGTATTTCAGGACTTAATATACCAAATAAAATAAGTTGTTAAACAATTACAATATAATTAACAAAATAACGTTTTAATCAGATTTTTTTTCTAAAAGCTTCCATTTGTAATATTAAAATGAGAAAATAAATCTTAAAAGGTTATTTTTTGCAGAATTTTTAATAAGCTGGCACATTACAACTTTATTATTGATTATTACAGCAAATAATTACTTTAGTTGCTCAGATGGCAAAATTATATCATTAGCAAAAAATATTTTTTTTGTAGAATAAGAAATCTTTTCAAGCTGATTTAACTATCTGTCACAGAATATTAGCTTTCAATTTTACCCTTAATTTTTTACATCCTAAGCTAATCCCATAATTAACGTCAAATGAGCATTTTCTTTAAGAAAAGTTTTCCTTCTTAAATCGAAATTCAATAAAATTTAACAAGCTATAGACTTCAGAAAAACTTAACTTTAGGTAAGAATATTCAACTGTAATTTTAACCAAATTGCTACTGAAGTCTATTTGATCAAGTATATGTACTTGAATTTAATCGACTTTAGTCAAGCATTTGACTCAGCCGTAAATAGAGCATGGAAGCTGATAGACTTCTAACCGAATTTTCCAAAGTGAAAACTGGAGTCTGACAAAGAAGGATTAATACTATCTAGATTAATGTTCAAAGAACAGGTATAAGATGCAGATTTGATATAGTTTTGGAATATCTAGATTTTGCAGATGACACTGCAATAATGTCATTAAAATACTATAAGCTTAACTTCTAACTGAATTTTTCAAAGTAAAAACCAGTGCCAAACAAAGAAAGATGAGAGCTGTCTAGATTTCTACTAGAACACTACTTCTTTGTATGGAGTATAAAAAAAAATAACTAAAAAATTTATATTAATAAACATTATGAATCATTCATAAAACTGAAAAGCATATATCAACACAATAAAGCTTATTAAATTACCTTTTTTCCCCTTATTTATTATTTCCTGCCCTTTCCAGTGACTTTACATTATTAGATAAAGCAAAACATGGTTTTCATGAATATTTCTTGTTCGTAAAAATCGTTTTTTAACATTATATATATAAATTATAGTCTATATTTAGTCATAAGCTAATAACTTAAACATGAAAGCAAAAAAAAAAAAACATAATAATACTTGTTCCCATAATGGGAACTCTGGCACTTAATATGTTAAAAATAAATTAAGGGTGCTAGAGCCAGGCTCTTGCCTCCCAATTTACTTTAGTTTTTAACTGTTCCTATTACCAGGGGTGTTTGTGGGACCCCAAAAAATCCCCTGAAACTTTTACGGAATTACTACCGACATTTTGGAGTTTCGAGAAGGGGGGGGGGGGGAAATGAAAAATTACAATTATGAAGTATTGAATGACCTAATTATAAAAGTTCAATGAATTACTTTTTTTGCAAAATTAATAACCATAAATTTTCAAACATATAAACTACTACATTTTATGTAAATATTTTAAATTACCTGAATTAATTCTTAAAAAAAATTATCTAATTTCTGCTGCTTTTTTTTATTATCTGATGTTTGTGGGCTTGTCTTTCTTTTAGGGTAAATACAATGAGTATTGAAGCTAAAAAAAATTTGTCAGAAGTAAATTTTTATATTGTCACTACACTCATAATATTTAACAAATCTGTGACAATTAAATTTTTTTACATTAATTGCTTTAAATCAAATCATTAAAAGATAAATTAAAGTATTTTTGAATGAAAAATCTTAAAAACATAAGATTTTTTGCTGCATTTAAAATATTGAAACCCCCTCTCTTCATACTTATTTAAAATCTTGTCTCTAAATATTATTAAGTTATTTCCTAAAATAAAATAAGAGCACTGAAAGTTTTGACGGTAATAATACAACAATAAAATGTAATAAGTAAAAAAAAAATATTAGTAAAAAATAGTAATAAAGTAAAATAATTGTTTAAAAACAATATGCAATTAGTGGATGGTACCTCAGATAAAAAATTTACGTTATGAAACTCAATTAATTCTTATCTTTATTAAATGAAATGAATAAAAGGGAAATGGAAAGTTTGAAGCTTTGTGATTCTTGACTGTTCTGAGGATCAACATGAAAATATGTACTTAGTGGATGGTCCCCTAGTTAATTCAAAGATCATGGTACTAATCTATAAATAGAATAGCGCAAGAAGGCCATTAGCTTGCCATTGACGAAGACGATGGCACTTCAATAACGATGAAATCAACAAGAGAAATTTTTTTTATGCTATTGAAATTTGGCAATGTTTAGTTGGTCCCCGAAATTTTTTTGGCGCAGATTCGGCGCAAATTTAACATAAAATGCCGTTTCTGCGCAGTAATGCGCAAATATACCGGTTTGACGCAAAATGAGCAGCACTTGAAGCCCTGTAGCTTTCAAAGCAAACAAAATTAGCCAGATCAAAATAAATAATTAATTATTATNCCCATAATGGGAACTCTGGCACTTAATATGTTAAAAATAAATTAAGGGTGCTAGAGGCAGGCTTTCGCCTCCCAATTTACTTTAGTTTTTAACTGTTCCTATTACGAAATTACCTTTCAATTACTTTAATTCTCAATACAATATTTAAGATAACAACCAAAGCTAGTAGGATAACAGAAAGCTTATTCTAACAGGAAGAACAGAAATGAAAATTATTATGCAATTACACTATATTAATATTTGCTGCATTTCTGTTTACTATGTGTTTTTCAGTCATCCATGTTTTCTGTGTTGGTCCTGTTAGATAATGATGTAAATATTTAGGTACACAACACAATACAATTCATTTACCTTTTGAAGTACTAGGTTTGTCATTAGTTATACAACTTTCTTCATCATCTATTTTTGCTCTTTTATGTGATGGTGGCATTTTTCCTGCAATAGTAATAAATAGGTATCAGTATAGAAAACCTACAATGACAATAAATATTTTGAATTAATCATGTTTTGAGCCGCGGTGGCTCAGGGGATAGAGCTTTCGCCTTCCAATGCGGTGAAACGGGTTCGATCCCGACGATGGCTGGTAGATACGAATTCTGTATTCGGCTTGCACCGACCACAGTGCTGACATGAAATATCCTCAGTGGTATCAGATCATGGATTAGAGTTCCCTTGCCGTCAGGCTAACCATGGGTGGTTCTCGCGGTTTTGCTCTCCTTGGAAAACCTTTTCCACAAAGGCAAATTTCTCCCAATACTTGATCCATAAGTGTCCTTGTCTTCTGGATTAGGTTCAGAATTGCAAGGCTACAAAGTTGAAAATTAGTAGTCGTAAACTAAAAAAATTGGGTCAGCTGTTCAACGACGGTTATAAACTAAAAAATTCATCATATTTATAATACCATTAAAAAAAAATTTAATACTAATAAATAAAATAAATGCATTTGCAAAGCTCAAAATGGCAGCCATATGAGACACTAATAAGCATGTTAACACTCTGAGACAAAATACAACACAGGGACAGCAGCCGAAATTTTCAGAAAATAGTAAGGAAAATAGGAAGATTTATTAAAAAATAGGAGTGTTGAAAAACAAATAAAAAATTCACTTCGATATTCAAATTGGACAACGTATTATATTACCTGATATAAGTACACCCTTAGTTATAATGTGCTATTTAATAAATTTACATGAATAGTAATTTAAATCAAATAATATCTATTTCCCTACATAGCCAATATAAATTTCAAAAACAGTAATTAAAATTGCTGAAAAGATGAAATATTTTTTAAGACAGATATTTTACTTTTATTGAGGCTTTAAATATATAATTATGATGCATAAGTAATTTGTATAAACAATATATTTCTATAAATTGAGCTAAGAAAAATTTAAATAAAATATTCTTAGATTAAAAACTATTATTTTATGAAATTTAAAAATACATTCATTTCATAAAAAAAAAATTTATGAGTTTCTTTGACAAGGAAATTTTTATCTGTGTTAAATAAATTCAAATTTTATTAATGTTCTATCATTTACTGAATTTTTCAATTATTATTATTTTACAACACAATTATTATTAACCCTGTGGCAGAATTTTTTTCTGATTTTTGCAAGGAACTTTTAATAACAGATATAGAGGTCACTAATTTAACATAATAGAAACGCTGTGTTTACTAAAAAATAATAATAATAATAATAAAGAAACATGCATATAATATTTAAATATTATATACAAGTTTATTTATTAAAATAAAATTGAATTAAATAAAATTGTTTATAATATTTTTTAATTGAATATATATTTTTTATTCTAATATTATGGGCGATACTCTTGCTATTTGTTGGGGGGAAAAACACATTAATTATTTCCCTTTTCACATTTTGTTAATTAAAACACACAATCACATTAAAAAATTATGAAATTCACAGTAGTAACTATCTAGAAAAAGTTACGAGAATCGGACTCTTCAAAAATGGGTTACTAAATGAGCGTCTTGTTTCAAAATTTGGGTGTTGTAATAAATAATATCGTATTAAAAATATCTGATTTTAAAAACTATGTGGGAATCAATAGCAATATTTGCAACAACAACAAAAATTTATAGAATCAAGACAATAAAAATTAAATATTCAAATGTGTGATTCGAATTTCCCATATTTTCAGAAATGCATTGGGATATTTAAAAACCCTGAGATAATCAATAACAATTATTGCCGAAAGCACAATTGAAAGCACTACATGGATTAATGATACTATTGGCATAAATTCAACGTATCAAAAAGTAATTACGTAAATGCGCGATTCAAATTTCACATGTAGAAATATTATAAAATGATAAATAACCAGAATTTTAAAAATCTCGTGGAAATCGGTTGCACCAGCAATAAAAAATTGAATAAAAATTGAATAATTTAACAAGTAATTTGAGTTTTGCGATTGGTGATAAGTGATTCGAGTTTTTTTCAATTTTAGAAAAAAATATTGGGACTTGTTTGTTTGTTTTTTTAAATAGGAAAATTCCTACCAATAGCTGTTTAAAGAACAATTGAAACATGCACGGATTAACGAGGATATCGGCACAAACCGAGTGTGTCAAGGAGAGATTTCTTGAATCCACAATTTAAACTTTTAGTATACCGTATAAATGCTAATATTTTTTTTAAAAAAATCATGTGATTATTATTAAAAAAATTTGTTAGATTTTTTTAAAAAACAAGTAAAAATTCATAGCAATTATTACCAAAAAAAATTATCAAAACACTACATATATTTACGATGGAACAAGCACATGTATTAAATAATTATTTAGCAACAAATTTGAAATTGTAACAAAATCCCCACTCACAGTCAAATTTTATTTAAATGTAAAATATGGAATTCTTTATAAAAATAAAAAATAACATGATTTCTAGAACAAACATCTCTTAAATTTTCGTGATTTCAGATCTTTTTCTTTAATATTATCAAATTGAAATTCTAGTTGAAGCCAGTCATTATCGAATTTTTCTTCTCAAATAAGAATAGAAAAATTAGGAGCATTTCTTTCCTTTTTGATGGGGAAGAAAAGCATCTCTTAAAACTAGTTCAATAGAGTAAAAAATATCTTTTTTTTAAATTTTTTAGTTCCTCATTTTTTTTTTTTTTTTCATTATTAAGAAATGAAAACGAGAAAATCGTGAGCATTTCTTTACCCTTCTATGCGCGAGAAAGACATCGCTTAAATATAATTCTTGATGGGGAAAAAAAGAAATTCGAAAATTTCTGAAGAAATGGAAAAAAAATTTTACTTCATTATTCTTTTTTTTTTCATTACAATCAAATGAGAAGAGAAAACTACTCTTTCTGATGGCGAATAAGGCATCTTATGAATATAATTCTTAGGAGAAAAAAATTACTTTAAAAATTTCTGCAGAAAAGAAATTTAAAATTTTTTACTTCCCAACAGAAAAATCTTTCTGAAAAAAACCTCTAACATTCTGTGACAATATCGCCGTGATTCTGGCATACGATTATTAATACTATCTAGATTTTAACTTGGGTTTCAACATTTTGCTAAAACATTAATGGAAATTAGAAGGAAAAGCATGTGTATCACGATCTTATTTCTCCTTATGCTAAGCGATTTTATTTCTATTCCGCTCCAATTAAACATGAATTAGCAAGCTGACATAATAAAAAGAATTCATGTTCTATCAAGTTCTGCTCCCTCTCACACCCCATTCAAAAGGAATGAATTGAAAAACAGGTGCAGTTGCAATACTTAACAATACAATAGCAGAAATGACAGATTTTTTAAAAAATAAGAAAAAGAAGGAAATAACACGAAAAAAAGAAGGGGTGTTGAAGTAGGAAAAACAGGAGGACTGTGGTCCCTATATGCATTAGTTATATTTATTTAAATAATCAAACAAGCAATAAATTATGAAAAACTTACTTCGATAAGAGTTTTTATAATGAAACTTACTTAATTTTAGGGAATTGTCTAAAATTACAAAATCCAGGAGAGATTTTATTAAACCAGTAGGTAGAGAGAAATTGGCAAAATCCAGTAGTTCACTGGTAAATGAAGTAGAGTTGGCAGCTATGTTTGTGGTATTTTTCTTTTAATTTTAAATTTTGTATGTGTTTCTTATATTTAACATGTTTGGGTTGTTATTATGAAAGATGTCATGAATTGGGATAGTTTTAAAATTATTGTGAATTTAAGAAGAAAACAGAAAATTTTTTAGCTTTCTTGTGATTTTTATAAATTTATATTTTGGGGGATGTCATGTTTGTTCTTTTATTTTATGTGGAGTAGTAACAAAACCATTGCGGGGGGTGATCATTCAATATAGACTTGCAGTAGTTTTGACTCATGCATGGCACGTTAAAAAAAAAGTTTTAGTTGCAAAATATTTGTATAATGAATCTGCAAAATATTTCTTTAACAAAGACTGGATTTAGTTTTTTAAAAAATACTGTTTAGCTAAGACCATAAACCATTGCTTAAACCATAATCAAACCTTTTGCTGACTAAACTTAGTAACGGTTCCCAAACTTTACAGCTGACTCTTTTTTATTTTTTTATTTCACCGTTTTATTTATTCTTCTTTGCACAACTTATTCCATTCCAAAATTATCTGTTTAATTCTGGGGAATATTAAATCAGAAAAGAGTAGAAAATAATATCTCTGATTCTAGCAGCAGAACATAATATCTCTGAAAATAAATAGTTCCGTAAATAAAACTTCTTTTTTTAAGAATGAATATTCACCGACAATAACTTACTTCAAAAAACTTGATGTTTCATAAACTTCAGAAGATATCCGTAGAAAATAAACTTTTCTTATATCAAAGATAAGACAAAATGGTGATTCTCATCATGAAGAAAAGAATTATGTAAGCAATCTATTTGTTTTTCTTCTGCTTTTATTAATTAGGGCTTTATTAAAGATTTTGACTGTTTACCGTTGTCCTGCTAAAGTACCTTTTCAACTAAATAAATTCTTATAAAAATTTTAAATCATGATCACAACACCTATCAGAGGACCATTCACACTGCATGCAAAAAATTGCTTATGTGAATTCGGAGATGCGAAAGAGAAGCTGATTGGTGAATAGTATTTAACCACTAAAAACTCGCCAATCAAAATCTCGTTTGCAACTCCGAATTCGCATGCGGGGTTCTTCTTCCGCATGCAGTTAGAGTGGTCTAAATGTGTAATTTATAGCAGTATAATGTTATTTGCACTAAAATGTAAAACTGCTAATGAAATTAAACTGCCTTTCCAAATAATTTTATTTTAAAATGTAGCGCAGAATTACGCTATAATAATAATGGTAAGAGAACAACAATTCTCTTAGTTCTAAAATCTAGAACTAAATTCGTTATAATAGCAGTACTGTAATATACCTTTCAATTAAGGATACAAAATTATTTAGGAAAAAACAATACCTTTATAATTTTAATCGTCCCGCAGTGGACTGATCGTTCAGACACGGTTCCCAGCAGATCAACGAAGTCAAGCATCACTGACTGCGCCTGGGGCCTCCCTGGCCGAGCGGTATTGCCGGTCCAAACGCTCTGTTAAGCGTGGAGGTAGCGGGTTCGAATCCTGCTGTAACCCTGGATGTATTCTTTGTGATGTCTTTCTCTAAATTGTTCTATCTGTATTTTCTACTTGACAATGACTTATAAGCCTATATTGAGCACACAAGTCAGCAAATGTATGTAATTTCAATAAATCATCACTGACTGCGGTCAGTGTGCGTGTGAGTGACCACTTGGATATGTCTGCGTAGGGACCGAGGGTGTGCGGTATTAGGTCTCGTTAAACTGTTCTACCGTAAAGTGCTCGACTTCGCGTGCAGGTCGTCGAGCTACCGAAGTGGGGGTGCCATCTCCTCCGCAGAGGATCAAAATTGTGATGGCATGTCTTCGGATCATCCTCAGGTATGTTTCCCAGACCGTCGCCAATAGCCCATTGTGTAGCTCTAGTGCGACGTAAATGAACTGCAACAACAACAACATAGAGTGGTCCTCAAATCACGAGTTTCACGATACTTATTATATTACGAAAGCATAGTCTAAAAAATATAATAAACTTTGAAGATGCGCTTACTTATTTTATTTCTAATGATAATTCAGTGATGAAGCACAAACTTTCGAAATGAGTCAAGGACAGTTTAGACTAGTTAGTAAGGGGTAGGGCCCATGTCCCAGAGGTCATGATTTCAATTCACGCCGACCGAAGACTCTCCGTGTACAAAATGGGGACTGGTGCTTACTAAATCTGTTGCTGTTGCAGTTAATTTACGTCGCACTATAGCTGCACAATGGGCTATTGGCGACGGTCTGGGAAACATCCCGGAGGATGATCCGAAGACATGCCATCACAATTTTGATCCTCTGCAGAGGGGATGGCACCCCCGCTTCGGTAGCCC